ACCGCGCAACAGCCTCCAGCGGGAGGCTGAGGCTGGTCAGCCCCAGGGGAGAGGCTGAGCCTCCCTCGAGCCGGGGGAGAAACCCAGGAGGGCTCCCCGGTGGCGGCGGAATTAGGGCGGAAAAAAAAAAAAGAAAAAACGACCCACGTGGACGAGATTTTCTGGAATGGAAATGATTTTTTTTCTCTCTCTCAGTGATTTTTTTTCCTCAGTGACTTTTTTTCACCTCAGATTTGTTTTCTCAGTGACTTTTTTACTCTCAGTGATTTTTTTTCTCTCTCAGTGAGTGATTTTTTCCTCTCAGTGATTTTTTTCTCTCTCAGTGATTTTTCTGTGTCAGTGATTTTATTTCCTCAGTGAGTTTTTTTCTCTCAGAGATTTTTTTCTCAGTGATTTTTTTTCTCTCTGTGACTTTTTCTCTCTCTCAGTGATTTTTTTTTTCTCTCTCAGTGATTTTTTTCCTCAGTGACTTTTTTTCTCAGAGATTTTTTTTCTCAGTATTTTTTTCTCTCTCAATGACTTTTTTCCCCTCAGTGATTTTTTTTCTCTCAGTGATTTTTTTTTCTCAGTGACTTTTTCTCTCTCAATGATTTTTCTGTGTCAGTGATTTTATTTCCTCAGTGAGTTTTTTTTCTCAGAGATTTTTTTTCTCAGTGATTTTTCTCTCTCAGTGATTTTTCTCAGTGATTTTTTTTCCTCAGTGACTTTTTTTCTCTCAGAGATTTTTTTCTCAGTGATCTTTTCTCTCTGTGATTTTTTCTCTCTCTCAGTGATTTTTTTCTCAGAGATTTTTTTTCTCAGTATTTTTTTCTCTCTCAGTGATTTTTCTCTCTCAATGACTTTTTTTCCCTCAGTGATTTTTTTTTCCTCAGGGATTTTTTTCCTCAGTGATTTTTTTCCTCTGTGATTATTTTTCTCTCTCAGTGATATTTTTTCTCTCACAGTTATTTTTTTACCTCATTGATTTTTTTTCTCTCAGTGATTTTTTTCTCAGTGATTTTTTTTCTCTCTCAGAGATTTTTTTTCTCAGTGATTTTTTTTCTCTCTCAGTGATTATTTTTTCTCAGTGATTTTTTTCTTCACTCTCTCTCTCTCTCTCTCTCTCTCTGTCACTCGCAGACGATGGGCCTTACTCCAGGGGAGGCTGGGAGGCTGGAGGCCCCGAGGTGGCCCTGGCCTGCCGCAGACAGAGCATTCCAGGTGAGGACCGTCCTTACCTCTCCTGTCCTCCCCCCAATCGGGGTGTCTCCTGTCCCCCCATGCTCCCTTGCGTGACCCTCAGACCGAACCTCCCCGCTTCCCGGGCCCCAGTCTCCCTTGTATCGGAGGCTGGGAGGAGAGGCCCTCCCAGATATCCACCCCCCAGTTTTCATTTCACCACGTTCGCAAATTTGTCGGCCCGCGTGGTAGTGAGCTCCCCGTCCCGGGAGGTATGCAAGCATGGCATCGCGAGCTGGGGCCCGCGGAGGCC